TCGGCGGGGCGTTCTGCTCGGCCTCCGGCGTCGATCTCCTCGGGCTCCAGCTGCGCGCCGCCCTCCGCACCTTCCCGCGCGCGCCGCCTTTTCTAGGCGCCGCCCCCGGCCGGCCCGCCCCCGGCCCGGCCCCGCGGGGAGCTGCAGAACCAGCGCGCAAAGAGGTCTTTATAGCGGACCCTCCGCCCTGCAGCGGCGCCGGGCGGCCTCTCCCCACCGCGCGGCGACGGGAGCAACCCTGCACGCGCGCGGCTGCACAACTCTTAACTTCTGCGCCCAATAAAAGGCATCTTTAGAAAAGCCTGTATTTCAAAGGAGGCCGGGCTGGCACTGTGGTCACGTCGCTGGGCTGCGAACCTACAGCGGGAAGTTGGAGCCCACCAGCTAGTTCCACAAACATCCGGCCTCAGAAGACCGTGGGCAGTTCTCTCACCAGGATCTGAGGCGGATTCCACCCTATGCACTTGGGTTTGGGAATTCGCAACCGTGGAGAGGCAGCTGTCGCACTGCCCCCAGCCTCAAGCGCCGCTCCCTGCCTCCCTGACCCCGTTAACCTCGAGTGTCACTGCCCACCCCAGAAGTCTTCCTCCATTACGGGACAACATGTAGGGCCTTGGGGATGGGGATGGGGGAGGGAAAAGGGTCCCCTCTACCCTTACAAGCAGCCTTGTTCACTGACTGTAGCCCGCCCTCCCTCTTGCTGAGCAGGTGATGGGGTCCTTGTGTGACCAGGCCCCTCTGCACCTCCCTCACCCCCCATATGGGTGCAGTATCTCCGTCAAGGGCCAGGTGGTGCCAGGAGCACCTCAGTGGACTTCACCTTCCTGGCCTGTGTCTGCCCCACCTCTTTGAAAGCATTGATCCCTTGATCATCTGACTAGCTTTGCATTAATTCTCTGTCTTGCGGAGACAGAATTACTTAGATGAGGTGAGGAGGGTTGTGGGTGATTCACCTGCCACCCCTGGTCCCAGCCCCACCCCTGTGCCCAGCAGGCCTGAAAAAGCAAGCCACTGTTAGTTAGTGGCCTGAAGTGGGGACAGAGAGGAACCCCCAAGTCCTGCCCAGCCTCCCCGGAAATGAACAGGCACGCAGGCTGAGTAACACTGGACAGGCTGTTCCCACCAAGTGCAGGAAAAACCCAGCCAAACTACAAATGTCAAAGCCCGCAGATGACCCCGGCGACTTCCACCTCTGACCTGTTCAGATCTAATGCCGGGGCTGGAAGCCCACGGAAGCCTCTAGATCCTGACCGTAGTGCCAGATGCTCTGCTGATGTCAGTGAGGGCAGGGAGGCCCACATTTCCATCACCGCCTCTGCCCGGGACTGGAGGGTAGCCTCGGGGCTGCAAGAACGGGAGCCGGAACTCCTGCCACGTGGAGCCCGCCAGGCCAGGTGCCACTGCCAAGGAAGGGGCCTTTACAGAGACCCCTCACCTGTGCCAGGGACTTGAGGTTTCCTCTGCCAGCTACTGGGGAGACAGAGATGTGTGGGCAGGTCTTAGGAGCGCTGCCATCCCAACCTCCTCCAGACTTTGCTTCAAGAGAGCACAGTGGGGCCAGAAACGAGGGCAGAAAAGGGGACGATTAAAGTGGAAAGGGCATCAGGGTACTTCCCCTGCTGGAAGCCCTGCAGAACCCCTGCTGGGAAGGGAGCCATCCACTTTGAACTTTGAGGTCACGTAGTGCACAATGAGGAAAGAATGATGACCTATACAGTGACCCCCAAGCCTCAGGGCTCGCCCAGCATCCTGGCATGAGAACTGGGGTGCCCAGGCTGCTCTGCAAGGGGTGTAAGCTCAACATTGGCTGACAGAGAACCTGGAGTGCAGGGCATGACTGGAGAGTACATTCTCACTGAGCAGGGCTGGCCAGCCTGGGGGGTGGAGCCCTGCTCACAATGCAACTCTGTACATGCGTGGACGCACACCTGTGTCCCCACTCAGACGCACAAGTGTCCTGAGGGCCGGGACACTGCCCACAAGCAGTTCCCTCACAGAGCAACCCCACCCACCCTGTGCCACCTTCACGATCGCCCCAGTGTCCCCGGGCCCAGGGTAGCTGCACCTCGTCCAGCAGCCACATCTCCTTTCTAGATGGAGGCGAGGTCACCAAGAGGGCCCCAGCCGTCGCCAGGATCACAGTGGGCGCCTCAGAACCCTCAGCCACGCACTGTCTGGGGTGAAGGGCAGCCCTGCTCAGGCCAGAAGATGCAGCCCCTCCCCAGTGAGGCCACAGCTGTCCACTCGTGGCTCAGAGCACTCTGGTGCACAGTCCACAGAGCGGAACCCAAAGGCAACACATCTCTGGGAGCTCAAATCCAACAGCCGCTCCAAGCCAGAAGGAACCTCCTGTAGGGTTTTGGGCTTGGAAATTACAGGAAGGTCGGCTGGGGTCAATGCTGACTGACAGCAAAGCTGCAGCTGATGCAGCTTCTGCCTGAGAGGCTGTGTCTCTTCTGTCAGATTCCAGACCCCGGCAGCGGGGAGAGGAATGCACCCCAGGGAGGAGGATGGGGGGGCTTTCCTTCCCAAGGAGGCAAGGGGCCCTGTCAATACTGCCCACCACCGGCGAGTGGAAGGACGGGCAGCAGCCTCCTCTCTGTTGGCCCTCTCAGGCCATGCAGGCTGGCATCCTAACTCTTCCACCTGGCAGCTGTGCAAAGTGGGCAGGTGTGCACCCTCTCTGTGCCTCATCTGGAAAGCAGGGATGGTCCTAAAGGGATTCTGTGGGGAGTGAAGGGCAGCGTAAGCAGGGTGCTTCCAGGCGTGCCCGGCTCAGGGCAGCACATGCGACAATGCCAGGGAGAAGACCCCATGGTCAGCCCCTGCTCTGGGCCACTGCCCGGCCCCTCGAGGGCTTAGCATTACGAAGGGCGTTCTGATGGTCTTGTGGAAAGGAGCTGTGCCGCCATCCCCAAAACACGCAGTTCGAATCCTCCGGCAGCTCTGCAGGAGAAAGATGGTCAGTCTCCTCCCGTGTGATTCACAGACTCTGAAAACCCGCTGGAGGGCCAGCCTGAGTCTGTTCTGACTTGATAACACTCAGCAAAGACAACTAGCGTTACCAGGATGGACTGTGCCCAGTGGTGCCCCCGGGGCCTCGGATGCAAAGGGCCTTCACCGATGTGGTCATCCTAGGACGCGGTCACCCTGCATGGAGCAAGTCTACCCGGGACATTTCCCCAACAATGTGCACTCACGTCATATCCCTGTGTCCAACTTTTCCGTCAGCCTGTCACCGTGAAGGTCCCGTCTCCCAGAGACCCTACAGGACAGGGTGGCACCGGCCCGAGGCTGTCCACGCCGTGAATCTTCATAGCAGCAGACTACATACTTCCTCCTTTGGGTCTTTTTGTTAGTTTTTCTTTTCTTATTGTGTACCATTGAATCGGATCCGTCTGGCACAGGAGGAGATTGCCGCTCTGTCTCCAGCTGAGTATCTGGTGGATTCGAACCGCACGCCTTGGGCACTGCAGAGCAGCTTCTTGCCACTAGGCCAGCAGAGCTCCCTATACTTTCTCATTTTTTGCAGAGTGGGACATCCATTAACTTGTACAACAACCACCACCACGCAGTATTTTCAAAGCTGAGACAAGGCCTGCATGGGCACAGCACAGCCTGAATGGGGAGTGACAGGAAGGGACGAATGCAGCGGGCTCTTTGTCTCTCACAGGGAGAGTCCCCAGATGTGGTCTGTGCTGAGGGACCCCAGAAATCAGGGTAAATATCACAGACAGCCTGGAAGCTGCCAGCAGGAGGGCTTAGGGAGGAGAGAGTCAAGGGGAGACAGGGCGGTGGAGAGCGGGGCTTTCTCCTGCAAGCCTTGCCCACTCCTGGCCTTAATAAAGAGCACTTAATAAAAAGAAGGCTGCTTCAAGTTAAAGGTTCTGTGTCCGTATCACCTTGATTTGGGTGGCTGGTGGCTGTTAGTGCAGTCGGTTAAGAGTGGCGCTGTTAACGGAAAATTCGGCAGTTCGAATCCACCAGTCAGCTTCTGTCACAAGGACCCTGGGGAAGCCCATGGGCAGCTCTGCTCTGTCCTGGGGGGTCACCTGAGCAGCCTCGGTGGGGTGCTGTCCCCCAACCCCAGGGGCTCTATAGTTTTCCTTGTGGTCCATCTCACTCAAGGGGCTTTTCCTCGGGGTCTGCCTTCCTGGCCTGCGGTCCCTGCCACCATTCCAGAATGGACTTTAGGGGCCAGTTCTTGTTGTGACAGACACCGCTGGAGGCTAGCTGGGCTTCAGGCCTGCCCGGTCACACCTCCAGGGCTTAGGCAGTTTTCAGCTTTAAAGGCCGTTCCTGGAAGCCTCTCCCAAGCCTGAGTCAACAAAACCCAACACATGTCCTCAGCTCACACCTTCAGGCCAACACGGGGACTCGGAGGAGGACGGAGGGGAGCCAAACCCCAGCGTCCTGAAGTCAGAGGAGCCCCTACCCCAGGCCATCATGACAGTGGTGATGGGCGGACACTACCCATCTTTTCCCAAGGATCTGCTGGTGGACTTGAACCCTGGGACACACCGCCTTGAGGTTAACAGCATCATCCACTATGAGCTACGGAGTCCACATAAACCAGGGCTCCCGAGTCTATTAAGGGTTCAATATCATGATGAAAAATGAAGTATTTCGAGAATGACCCGATTAGGAACAGAGACGTGGACACGCACTGTGGCAAATCCAACACCAGGAGACGTGCTCGGTGCAGGGTTGCCATGACCTTCAACTTGTGAGCAGACAAGGCCTGACTTGTGAGCTGTCATGAAATGAAGTGTGATAAAGCAGTGTACGTCTGGAATCCAGACACCGAGACAGCTCTTCGAAAGTCATCATGCCGGAACTTTGTCAACTTACGGGTGGTTTGTGGTCTGCGCTTCCTGTGAACAAGCTAGTGCACCTTCAACATGATGCAGCACGCAGGCAGGTCTGGGGAGCCCTGGGGGTGCAGGAGGGAGCCCCACTCTGCTTCCTGAAATAGTGGCAGTGTGCGCCCACCAGCTATTCTGAGGGACGACGATTTGCAGCCTAGACCCCCTCTGCACAGACCCCGGCTGTCGTGCCCGGCTGTGAGCCGGAATCGACTTGATGGCTGGGGGGTGGTGGGAGGGGTGGTAGTGTTTCATATCATTTTGTAGTTTAGCGAAGACCAGGGCGGGTGATGGGCATTCAGAAGGCTGAGCAGACCTTCCCTAGCCTGTGCCAGACATACAGCCCCCTCTGTATGGAGGGAAAGGGCAGAAGCCGTTTCCAGCCTGATGTCCCCTTGGTGCCTGAGCTGAGCCGGGCGCACAAACACCGTTTCTATTCATTCATTCCTCAGGGAAGATGCAAGTCCAGGCAACGACAATGGCTGTGTAGTTTTCAGCTGATAGTGAAGACAAGGGGCTCAAAGGGGAAGCAAAGGAAAAGCTTGGGGCTCCTAGCATGATGCCCAGGGCTCCCCAAAAGGCAGAGTCGAGGTGCCAGACCCAAGGACTTGTGTGGTCCTGGGGTGGTGGGCCAGGCCAGCCCGAGAGTGCTGCCCCGAGTGGCTGCGGCCGTCTACCCAGTGTTGCGTGGTCACCACCGGGTACCTGCTCAGTGACCCTGGCACCAGGGACACTGCCAGACACAAGTCAAGCCCTGACCCGCTTGTGTGTGGAGAAAATGATGGAACCTGATCCCTTCAGAGAGTTAAGAGACCAGGGGCCCCAGAAGGTGTAAAGGGCCCCCTTCCAGCTTCCCACCGAAGCTAGCACCTCAGGAGAAAGACACAATCTATTTCTACAGAAGCAGCCAGTGAAAACCCGGATTGCGGTGACAGGCACGGGCCTCAGTGAGGTAGGGTCCACTAGAAACAGCACAGAAAGGAAGTGGGGCCAGCATGGAGCAGCCTAGGCCACGGACAGGATGACCCTCTTGAGAGGAGACTGGTGAAGAGAAAGTTATTCCCAGCAGAAGACATGGAAGGTCTAAGAGCCCCAGATCTGAACCTTTGTCTATAACCAGAGAACCAGCAGGAGAGGCGGGGGGATGTGGAGGGAAGAGGACAGACGCAGGCGTGAAGAGCTGGGACGAGGAGGAGCCCCCCAGGCATCAACACCGGGTGGACCCCTTACCCGCACGTGCAGGAGGAAGGCAGTCGGGGCCACACGAGGAAGTCACGGCCACTCCACCCAGGACAGCAGCCGCCTGGCCTCTGTGCTAGCTCGTGGGTGGTAGTTATCATTTCCCCAAGCAGACTACACACTTCTCCAAGGTGGAAATGTAATGCAAGATGTGGATCTCCTTTCTGCAAATTTCCCCACTATGCTCAGTTTAACAGAAGTCTCATCAACTACTGTTTAAAGAGATGAACTGCTAAATGGATTGGTTCATGCCTGAATGGATGGAGAGTTAAGAGGATGTGGAAAGGGGTGCAATGGAGGGAGGGAGGGATGGATGATGGGTGGGTGGGTGGATGATGGATGGGTGGGTGG